TGTAGATGAGACGGACGTGTTGTCAGTTCAAGAACAATGAATCAAGTATGAACGCGGATGTTTGGTGGTCACACGGTGTAGCGTTATATCGTGTACTGGATATCAGATAGTGATTTGTGATTTTAACAGCTACCATACGAACTAGGAATTAAATGCTTAAGGTAGGTTCCCTCTCCGTGTGGCTCACCGAGCTACGAATCATATACGCTGGTTTGGTGTATTGTACTCATCGTGGGAACGCTTTCGCTCGACAAGGTGCGGTATAGCTCGGTGAGCCTATCACACGATTTTCGGCCCGTTGTGTTCTCACCAAAGGAAACAAGTCATGCATTTAAATATTGTTCCCATAAGCGAATCGGCGTCTGCATTGTGAATTTTTTTTTTTTACATGTAGTGTGTATTTCGACATTATTTGATTTGATTTTTTAAATCTAAAATCAATTACTTCAAAGAAGTCTATAATGTGATATTATATATGTAGGGATACATCTAATGACTTAAATGACATTGAAAAAATTATGGAAATAAATAAATGATTTAATTTTAATGTTCGGTCATTCAATTTTGCATGCATGGATAGGATTTTTTGAGTGTTACATTTACTATACAAAATTAGTATCATAAAGTGGCCAGCGCGTAGAAATGAAAGGAAAAATTAGTTTTGGAAAGTAAATATAGGATTCAAAAATAATTTAAATCTAAATTAGGACTACTAACGATGACGAAAACACAGCAAGGTGATTTTTTGAAAATACAGAAAAGGCGTCATCTATTACTGGAGTAGATATTATTATATTATATTAGATATTATTAATATATTATTAAGCACTGTCAATATTACCAATCGGTCAACTTTTGGAAGAACCACAAGAAACTAGAAATAAGGATATAAAAAAATATAAATAAGGATTTTCAAGAAAATGCTTTAGAATAAAAATGTAGAGGATATTTTCAATAGACTTTTAGTTATTTTTGATACATTTATATCCAGTTTTAGGCAACTACCGTAAAAAAAATTAAAAATATTCATTCAGAAGTATTGGAAATGATTTTTCTTCCAGATGTTAACATTAAAACCATAAAAACAATAGAAACAGTGTCAAATATTAGTAGTGAAAATGAAGTGAAATGAATTTTACTTGTTTTGACAAAATTAAATTTAGTTAATGTTGTCTGATTTTGATTCTAAAAAAAAATTTGAATTCAGCATACAAATGACTGTAGATCGTACGGAACAATTTCTGTTTTTAATTTTAAGTATGATTTATGAAAACTCATATTTTTCATTTTTTTATTACAGTTTACAATAATATAAGATTTAATTTTTTCAATATTTCGTATCATCTATTGACAGTTTTCTGTTTAGTTAAATTTTTTTTTAGAATTAAAATCGGACAACATAAATAACTTTAACTTTATCAAAACTTAAGGTCTTTTGAGCTAAATTTACAGCTGTCGCGAGCAGTTTTTCTACTAACAGGCAAATCGTTTATACATTTTATCATTTCATTTTTATTAGTAAAATCTTGTAACAAAATGTTGGGCGCCTTTAAACAAATTTCTTTTAAGTATTCTCTGTCAATAAGTGGCTAACCATGCTGCAATATGACAGATAAAAACTAGTGGCTGATAAATTATTATATTGTTTAATTGACTTCTAAAAAATTTTGCTTTTTGAGAAATCAATTTCAGTAGCGCTGCGTGAATAAAATATACAGGGACACTTTTAACTTTTGTTCAACTATTAGCTTTATATACATTTTTACTTGAAATATTAGTATTTTATTTAACACATGTATTTATGTCGTAACTTAGCTAAATAATTCCAATTATTGTTAATTATATTTTTGTTAGATAATTATTCAACTTTATTGTAAGTAAATAGTTTAAACAACTGAAAAAATATTGCATCGTTTCTCATATTTTTATATAACTTATATATATTATAAATTAAATTCGAATTTCAATTAATTAATATTCATTTTACAGATACAATTACAACTGATAAATTAACAAACTGAAATTTACGGGTATATTTTCCGAGTAATAACTCATCTAATATATAAAGTTTTTATTCAATATTTTTAATTTTTAATAAAAACACGGCAAGTTGTAGAATAACGGACTCGGTGGACTGTAACTGCACATGCATCGTGGCCATTTTATAATATATCACCTAAATTCCGCATACAAGGTTTTTTTTTCACGTTAACTTCACACATCATTATTGTATTCATTTTTGTACATAATTTTTAAAAAAAAAAAACAATCAGTATTCTATTAATTGGCCGTCATTATATAATTCTATATTTTTATTTATAAATTCCATATTGGTTTTTTGTTTAGTTCTAAATATTTTATAGTGATATCTTAATAGGTTTATTGATAAATGTGAAGCTCCAGTATTTTCGATGTTTAAACAATTTTATGTCATGCGGACTTTCGGTGTTAAAAATATTTTTAGAATGTGGAGCTACGGTACGTTAATTTTTTTGACCGTGGGGAATTATGGTGCATATTATGCCAATTATGGATTTACAAAATAATTTTATTTGTGCGGAGTTATGGTGTGGGGTGATTGTAAACTCCGCCAGAATATCGGATTAGTTAAAAAGTTAATAAAATATCTAATGTAAACTCCGCCAGTTTACAGATTATTCAATTCTAAATTAAATGTTGATTATTCGATTATAAATCGATTATTCTATCAATAAACAATTATTCGATTATTAATCGATTATTCTATCAAATAATTATTCGATTATTCGATTATAATCGAATATTATTTAAATAATCGATTATTCCAGGGAAAAAAATAATCGCACAATCCTAATCCAGATTTCCCTTACCAAAATAAAACCTTCATATTTGATTTTTTTTTAATATTTTATGCTTACTTTACAACAAAAATTGTTGTCGTTATATAATAATTATAGTTGCCCTTAAAAGAACCGGTCCATCAGGAAAATCACCGATTTCCCAATAGGCCAATCTGCCCATGATAACAACAGAATTTTATAACGTCACAGATGTGTTTTTGTTTGATATAAAACAGATTTTGTTAAAACCTTATCTAATTAACTTTTTATTATTATTAGTCACATAATTTGTTTTTCTTTTTTAAACGATGATTTTTTTTTTTTTACTATAGTTTAAAACTGAATCTCGTGTGATATATTTGTTTGAATAATTTTTTAGTAGATACCAATTAGTAGTACATACCAATTGAGAATATTTTTCTTTTCAACATTAAGTCACTTGAAAGAATTCAATCGAACAGGCTTTACATTTTTGGTAAATGGATCAAACATTTAACCTGCTCCAGAGACCTAAATAATCAGGTAATCATAAATGTTGAATTTTATTACTTTTTTATGATATATTAAATCCGACAATCTATTTATTTGTGTATTATGTGTTCATACATTTCAATTATATCGCTAATATCTGTACGGTAACACGAAATTATAGTTAATAATTTGTTTGTTACAAGTCAAACTTCAATGATCATATATCGTATGTTAAGAAAATTCCTACAATATGATTTGTTGATGTGACTAACAAAAAATTGTTTGTTGGAAACAAGGTTGTACATGACTAAAACACGTGCAGTGATTCGTATGTATGTGTTGTTATATATATTTTTTTTATATTCTAATATGTTTTGAACTAACCGAAATTACATATTTTTTTGACATACACATAACAACAGTAATGATTAAAGACTCTTAATTATAATATTAATATAGAGTGTATTATGTTTTCATTGTTATAGTTCAAATAGAAATAAACTAATATGATATTGATGCCTTTCAAATATTTCAGTCACATTATTATACATAAGTAAAAAATAATTAAATTTTTTCTTTAATGTGAAACCCAACCATACGTTATGGAAGAGAACTTATTAACTTATTATAACACAAGACTTTTTATTTAGTTATTGCTAGGGCTATAATTTATATACATTTGCATGATTTTTCCTTAAATTCAAATTGATTGGTGTTCAGCATATCCGCGATTTGGCTTTTGTATATTAAATAAAACCATTTTTTTTTTTTTTCGTATTTTTGCATATTTCGAACAAAATGCATATAATTGCATGTTTATAGATTTGAGAATTTTGTTAATTTGTTAATTTTTAAACATACATTTTCAATTTTTTATAATATTTTTAATTTAAAATGGTGTTTAACTTATAAGGCCCGTTTCACAGCCGCACGTATCGTCTGTGACGTTTTCGAATTACATTATTTAAGTTTTTAAGCACCGAACAGACAAGGACGAGTATGAACTTAAAAAACGTAAGCTGAAAAATATCTCGTATGAACGTTCGACTGTGAAACGGACTTAAAAATATTTTTCAAAGCCCGGATCGGCCCTGATGATCGTTTTATCACAATAATTGCATTTTTGTTCAAGTTTTTTACATTCTGAAAAAACCCGGTCCAAACCGTAATAAATTTAAAAAATTAAAAACCCGGCCAAGTCTGTGTTTTGCTTAAAAAAAGCACAATAATAAAAAGTTATGATAAATAATAATTTTAAAAATAATAATAATTTGTTTTTGCGTATTTTGGTAAATAAAATACATATTATAAAATTTTATATTCCATGTAAATCCTAACCCTAGTTATTACTATGGTAAAATATGCATTCAATTTTGCACTGAAAAATACAAAAATATGCATTTTTATGCATTAAAAATCTTAAATTGTGCATAAAAAAAAAAAGCGACTACTGATGTTCACAATATGTAATAATATTACAACATTATGTTGTGATGAAAATAAATTGATAGATTGCAAAGAGCACGTCAATAGGAGGAGGATGGTAGCGGTGCGCAATTACATATTTTCCGTGTTACTTGTTGTACTACTTTTAACTTATAAAACCCAGTATCGTACAAAAATAAAAATAATTGATCAAATACTAAGATTTTGTTAATATGTTAGGAAGAGTGTAAGAACAAGAATGAATTTAAGCATTTATTGTTCTCATTTTTTTTTTAACTTCCAAGAAAAACGATTTTGCTGAAATGACATGAAATAATATGCGCTAATAACTCCAAAAAATCAACTATATACCAATACACCCAAAACATACAATAACATGCACTATTAAACTTTACATTTGTACTACCTTTGTAATGAAATGGATTTGTATCTCATTTTGCATGTTTTTCTATGTAGCAAAAAAAAACATGCAAACATGCAAACTTACGAGCCCATATTGTAGATATAATACATATTTATTTGGTATTTCACAAAGAATGAAAATATATTTGTTTAACTATTTTTTTTAATAATATCTCAAATTCCAACTTGTGATGTGCCATATTTTAGTTTTCAATAATATAATTTTTTTAAATATAGATTTTTAGAATTTACTTATTAACTTTTAATAAATAAATATTTTTATTTTTACATATTTCACATATTTTCATACATATTTTATCATTTTTTCGTGCATATTTTACCTTTTTTTACTCCTATAACTTATAAACCCTAATCATAACAAAATATATCATGAGTGGATCGTTAATAATAATATGAATACCGATAGAATAATAAAAAATATTGTAATATACTTAATAGTTAATAAATAATAATAAGATTTTCATATTATTATTTATTAAATAAACTAAATAGATTAAATTAAGTATAAGCTAAACAGATTAATGATGAACATTAATATGTACGTATTTATATATGTATTTTATACTTAACAGTGTTATTCCATGTACACGATATAAAGTTAGAACAAAAAATTAATAAACTACTCTATATAGGTAGGAAAAAAGGTATTGAAGTTACGTTACCAAACGTATATTTTTCTAAACATTAAAAATTGACGGTCAAAAAGACCGAAGCCTCTAATGACGGGTTAAATTGGCTGAATATAAAATACCGAATATTGGCCGAATATCAAGTACCGAAAAGTAAAATTGTATTCTTAACTGAATATTAATACAATTCACTTAATAATAGAGTGTAAATTAATTTCAAAATATTGACCGAATAAGCCGGATATCAAGTACCTACCGAATACTCGGTCCACCCCTGATTATAATATGTATAAGTCATAATTTAATTGTTTAACTTAGCCATTTTCAGTCACGGTTATAATAATTTAAATAGTCTTATCGGACGTACGTTGAAGAAAATTATCATACTATTTGTCTTGTACAAATTATAATTATATATATGCGATTCAAATGATCATTTTATTATACATTCGAAAATTGAATACGGAAAACTGTAATGATATTAGGCTCCTGTTTTTCAGTTTTATTGACCTTAGAAACGCTATTCGAGTTAATTAATTATTATAATATGCGTAGAACAATAATAATTGTTGTTTACACAAGTAAAGTATAATAAATTAATTGTACATCACATAAAACGTGACATTTGTTACCATTATTTGGGTACTTTGTAGTCTAATGTTTCCGTGTATACTATTTTTAATAGCATTATAATTTTTAATTTTTGTTAATTGTTTTAATTAACTGTCATTCGAAGGTCGTACTTATTACTTTATAAATTATTTAAAGCTACGGAGAGTGTGCAGATAAGAGAACAACATTGAAGTCTTCACTTGACAAAAATGGAAGTGTTACCAGCAGCTATTTTTCTGACCGTTTTGGCTATCGTACTGACAGATTGTAATGCCGTGAGTACATAGTTTTTTTTTTTTTTTATTATTTCCAAATGCATCGGTATACAGGTAAATCGAAATTTCACTGTACATTTTAAGACAGATATTTTTATTTCTGTCTATGATTTTTAAATCACAAAGAATAAATCGCGGGAATCAATGCATTTTCTAATACATAGTAAAAATGTATAACAAACTTACGTAATATATCTAACAAAAGTAGTGATTCGAGTTAGGACTATTACAGACGTGGAAATAAATTCAAACGTATTTATATATACAGTGTACTACAGTGTTTCTCGATTATCCGCGGAATAAGGTGGCGTGGCATCTACGGGTAAGCGAATTCCGCGGGTAATCAGCTGAATTCAAATTGAAACGAAAATTCAATAATCAAATTATTAAAATAATTCACTATTGTTATATTGTATAGCATTTATTGAAATACGCTATTTAAAAATGCTAATGGTATGACGTAAAATTGTCTTCAAAAGTAGATTAACTATTTCTTTTATCGGAATTTTTTTCATTATTTTTCAATTGATGTAGCTCGGTTCGATAAATAAATATATAGCGTCTAAAAGTAATGAAAAATATATTTGCTAAATAAACAATATTGTACGCTATAAATTTGTTACCCATTAAAATAATAAAATGTAAAATAGTTACTCTATCCTATGTACCAGATTTTTGTTATAAGTACACTGACATAAAATTGTAATTGTGATATACCGTTGATGATTTTTTTAAATTGTATATACAATGATCTATAAAAAACACATCATAATTAAATAGTATATTATTTTTATTCGGTAATAAATAGAAAAATTAAACAAATAAATATTATATTTTTCTTATTATTATTACCAAAATCAATTTTAAATATTCTCTACAACTGAAGAAGCCTACTTACGTAATACTACGTATCTTATATTTTATAGATTTAAATATTTTAATTCGTTCAAAATTATTTAAAGATTGGTATAAGCATTATGGTAAAGTAGATTTATTATTTTAACGTTTAGTATTTATCCGAGGCGGCTATTAAGAAAACACAACTAATGTTGAAAAACGTTTGCTCCAAGAAATATCCAGTGGATGAAGGTATTTATTATACCAATTATTTAAAACATATTTTATGTATAAACTAATATGATAATTATAAATTATTGATGCGTATTATAGAAACATTAACCAAGGTCAAGAGTGGAGTGTTTCCTGAAGACAACAATAACCTAAAAGTAAGATATTTTTAATATTTTAATATTTTTTAGTTATATACGAAACAATATAATACGCTATATGGTTTCAGTGTTACTTCGGCTGTACTATGAAAACTATGCAGTTGGTAAGTAATTTAGTCAAATTATCTATTCTCATACTTATATATAGTTCATAGTTCATCCATAAATTCCTCGATTACGACTCTTAGTATTCGATTCCAAAATGGTTAAATTTCTAACGTATTATTTTGCTATAACCTTTTCTTCTGCATTTCATTAAAATTACATGGTAAAAATGTACATTATGAAAACTGTTATGAATAACCAAACAAGTATTTTATATTCTAGTACATGTAAATGTGTAAGTAATATCAATTTTAGTATTTCATACATCTAGACACATAAATAGGTGTTTGTTTTAAAGGAAGAGGGCGATTAACTTTATTCAAAATGATTAGGACTTAAAATTAAATAATGTACATTAAAGTGGTATACACCATTTATCTTATATCATGGTTACTACAATATGGTATTATGGGAAAAATTGCTCCTACCGACCTTCCCCTAAATTGCGTATACATCCTAGCATATTAATACTCGATCAAATAATTTCACTTAATTTTTGATATGCCAACAATATTACAGTAATCTGCACAAACATATTATTGGGTAAAACACGATTCCGTACAATTTTACCTGATTTTACCACGATTGCGTACGAAATTTTAAACGTTGATGCTAATTTTCATACCTGTATTGGTGTATATCACATGTCTATACGAGACAACTTAAAAAAGTTAATAAATACTTTTGTTGTTTTGTTGTTTTTATTATCTATGTTTATTGTTAATGATATCAAATATATCAGATAAAACGAAATTTCATTTTTTCCATTACATTATACGGTATTTTCCGAGTTTTAGTAAAAGTAGTAGGTAATAGATGTCAGGGAATCCAAATTTAAGCATTTTCAAATAATTTATTAACAATAATTTTACTCACATAAAAATGTCGATTTTATTTGTTTATTAATTACTTTTCTTTTATTTAGTTATTCTAATTTAATTTATTATTTTATTATTAATTTTCATTATGAATTATTATAGCACTTTTAAACTTATTGTTTATTTTTATTTTTTTGTTGAATTTTTTAATTTTTGATTTTTGATTTTTTCTTATCTCTTAATATTCTTACTATTATTGACAAATTCGACAACGTTGCATACAATTTCATACGCAATCTTGTTTATTTATTTTTTTTATTCACCTTTTTGTTACTCATCTACAACTCATCTACAAATATTCGCAATCGTGTTGCTAAAAAGGACAAATGTACCCAATCGTGTTCTACTCATATTATTATGAATATATATATATATACGCAATACATTCTATCATTTTTAGATCAATTCGAATGGACTTATTGAAAAACAAACATTTAAAGATAAGATGTCAATGATAGCACCGCCGGCCGTACTTAGCATTTTGATGCCTGCTATCGATGAGTGTGCAGGAAAAGGTAACCGTGCATCGTTCGTAACTATAATATTCATTAATCGTTACACACTGTATAAACATAAACAAATTGATTTAGACAAGGAAGAACTCTGTCAGACTTCATTCAACTTCGTGAAATGTTCGTACGCCGTCAATCCCAAAGTAAGTATAAATTAATATTGCTTACTGATAATTCATTTACGGTTACGCGCATTCGATTCAACAACATTTTTGTGAAAATATAAAAAATATTATATAATTTTAATTCCTACTTCAAACGTATCACAAAAAAAATACTAGAGCTACTAATGGTTTTTTTTTATAAAAATATTATTATTCTACTCTGCAAATGAACCACCTACTTGTGAAATGACGTACGTCAATAAAAGGTAATTCGAAGTAAATATTAAAATTATTTTTTTTCCATTACCAATGATACAAGGTGAATAAACCGAAAGATTTAATAGAAAGAACTCAATAAAATACACAATTTAGAAAAAAAAACTACGTTCAAGCCGAAGGGGATGTATATAGAGTTTCTGGATTTACGTTGCTTCACAATAAAGGATTCTTCATGGAGTAAATGCGTGGCTGAATCACTAAAGGTTCACAAAAGTTGACATTTATTTTCAATAACTAACTGAATCAGTGGTGCACACTCAAAAATGAATAGAGGTAGCATATTGCATGGAAAAATAACACCCACCCACTAAATCACTTTCAAAAACAGACCCGCGGGGGCTTCGCCCCCACACGCCCCTAACAAGAATTCTCTAAACTTGTTCAAGATTTAATAATAAAGTATTAAATTTTAATAAAATAAAATACAGGTTCTCGGTAGCTATTAGTTTTTATTGATTATTGTAAGTCTTAATAATTATGCACACTTGGTGTAAACATAAAATTTAAATTAATATAATAAAGCCTTTTGCAATAAGCTACTATTATTTTCAAATGTATTAATTACAGTATCTGTGTCAAATTTAATATCATTTTCACATGATAGTAACATTAAATTTTCTAATCGGCTTTCACACATGGTACTACGAAGTTTGTTTTTAATAATTGTCAATTTAGAAAACGTTCTTTCTGGTGTAGAACTAGCAACCGGTAATGTTACAGCAATTTTCAAAGCTATACTTAAGACAGGAAATACAGACTGCAACCTACTTATTTTAACTACCTTCAATACAGTAGATAAACTGAATCTATTTAAAGGCAGCTTGGTGAAAGAAACATCTTTTAACTGGTCTTGAGTATCCTGACAATCCTGGGGCCAGGAGGACCACCCACCCACCCAATTTTTCAGAGATAGCAGCTGCTACCCTTGAACCCTCCAGTGTGCGCCACTGAACTGAATGGTGGCACCCTTCTGTCTAAATATCCTATCATAATACAAATTTAGAGTAAATCAATACCAATGTCTCAATAAAATACCATATCAAATAAAATACTTTTAAATAGGTATATATTTTATATGCTACTAAATAATGCAAAAAATTATACAATATTACATTTATTTTTTGTATAATTTTATTTATTTATCATTCATAAATAATTTTCCATCCAGAATGAGAAAAAAATCGATTTGTTTTTATTTAAAATCACCGTAAAAATGTTCCACCACCTTAAAAATTTCAGAGAAGCTATTGCCTCCATGAACCATCTCTTAAATATGGACCTGATAATATAAATTTAGTTTTATAAAATAATGAATAGTATAATATAACTCCAAAGTTAAATATTTTAATCTAATGTTAACTGCTTTCATTTTTTTGCATTGATTAACGAGCTATCTACATATTTTCAGTTTTTTTTTTTTTTTTTTTAATTCGTCCAGGACTTGCTTTATTTATCGTTTAGACTGATTATTTAAAGTGTTGCCACAATCTTAAAATAGATTTTTTTTTTAAATATTCTCATGTCTGTCTATTTTTAGTTAACACATTCTACGCTTGATTTCAATCTTTATTATTTTGTTAAAATAAGTGCAATATTAATTAAAACGCATTCTCTATTGCATTCTTTGAATCTGAATTATCATAATGTTTTCATATTTATCTCAATTATTTGTAATAAATTACTATTTTTATTTTTACATTTAGTGTCAAAGTCGTCTGATAACAATTTTGTTTATGTCTTTACGGTACGATATTATGCATGTTTTTTATTCGGAATATTTGAAGCAGTAGTAATAGAACAATAATAATTGTAGAGTTTCGGGTCGAAGTTTAAATTTGAGGTTTCAACAATACAGTTTATGATTATAATGTTTTTTTTCTTCTAATTTTTTGATAGGTCTCAAAATTAAACAAATAAGTTCAATAAAGAATCAATAATTCTAATAACTGTTGTAATAGCTTTAGAATATATGTCGAACAAAAAAAAAAATTATAATACTTACATAGGTATAATATAATAAAATATGTAAATATAACTAACGTTCAGATGTTTATGAAATTGCATTTTTTTCTATTGTTCAATTTAATTCGATATAAATGTGATTTGTGTTCTACTAAATCAAATAATACTATTTTTGTTTTGTATATTTTATGGTTTTATATTTAAATGCATATTTTTGAGATTTTAAGTATATTAATGCATATTTTAGTACATTTACAAATTTTTTTTAAAACAATTTAAATTATTAGGTAGTTAAATAATGAATTATCGACACGTATATTGTTTGTCCCAAGTACTTTTAGATTCAAGTTTGATCGAATTAAAAAGCCATTGTATCATAATCTTTATATCTATCTTTCATGTTGTAAATTTGTTAATTACCTATTTAATATTAAAAAAAAAATATAAAATATAAAAATAACAACTAATAAAAATTATATTTATATTTACAACTTATGATAAATGTTTAATACTTAGGGTAAACTCTGCATATTTTGGGTTTTTTTTTAGCTAAAATACATAGTTAAAGTTTTTTTGTGCATAAGCATAATTCATAGATTTATTTGTATCCCCATTAAAAGTGAATAATTGGTTTAATTATTGGTTTCAAAGTGAATAAAATTAACAAAAACTTCATAAATATAATTAGTGTAATAAGTAGTGTAATCATCAGTTATGGAAAAACATGAAAAAATCAGAAAACAATCATAAAAAAATATTGTGATACCCATGCATTGGTTTTAGCATTATAAATAAATTTATCCAATTTATCTGAAATTATATTTACCAGGTATTTGCCCATCATTATATACACATCAGCAGTTTTTCGATTTTCGGCGTATACCTAACGTAAAATATTATTTTACGGGTATAGGCTTCTAAAATAACTCAAAAACAAAAAAACTAATAATAATTTAATAGTTCATTGGAAAACATTGTTATGAAACTTGAAATTGATTGAAATATTTAGCTGTTGAAAATTATAGAGTACGCTGTGTTTAATGTATTTTGTTAACTGTAGTAAATAACATTGAATAAAATAGTATGGAATATGAACATTGAGCCCATGGTTCTTAAATCTGCATCTTGCAATTTATAACATGCTACAAATGTATAGTTTTAATAGAGTTATAAACATATAGTTACAAAGGATTAATTACATTTTTTCGAACGTAATGAGAGAGAAAAAATTGTCGAGTGAAACAAGAAAATTTATATTAGAATTAATATCCATATTTTTTTAGTGCTTATACCCACAAATATATTTACCAATACACCACTGATTAAAGGTAATATATATATATATATATATATATATATATATTATATAATATTTAAAATATGTAATGTTATTTTACTTGTACATTTTGAGCCTAAATTAAAGAAAAAATTGAGTCCCCCCCCTCTAGAAGTAAGTCTAAATACGCCCCTGGTTAGCACTATATTGGATGGCCATTTTCTAATAAAACATCCAACAGTATTACATGTAATGACTCACATTATTTACCAAATTTAATTTAATTTTTATAAACATTTTTTTCAGACTTTAGAATATTTGCCGGTGTAATGGTCTTCGCGACCACAGATGGTTCTGGGTGTTACGAAAAAAAACACGTGACATTATAACATACAGCAACCGTACAGAAAAACATATTTCACTTATAAATATTTATTGATTTATAATTATACATATTTTATTTTTCTTTAGTACAAAGTTGTATTTTTTTTTCATACATTTATAGATATAAGTATGATATTATTTCTTGTCTGAAGAAATCGGTACATAAAAATATATAATATTATATTTGATCACAATAATGTTTTTTTCTCTCTACCAACGCACAAATAGTATATTCTGTATATGATTATTTTTTTTCTGGCCCTCTCATTGACCCCACTCTCTCCTCTCCACGGCCAAAATTCGATGTATATTTTATAGTCTCTAATAAAATCGGTCTACACTGCACTGGATTTATTACACAAATTACACAATTATATATATATATAAATGTATGATATAATATATGTAATTCGATGTGCTACCCGCTGGCGATAACTTATTAACCTCATTTAATATGTACACTAATAAATGGTACATAGATGATTCACACAATCGCAGACTCCAAAGTCTGTCTGTCTAGTGCATATATATATATATATATATATATATAATATAAAGTTTCATTTCGTTTTTTTTTTCTTTGCGCGCATAATATTATCAACATACTCATACGCGAGCTCGTACGCGCATGCAGTTCTCGTCTGACAGTAGTGCAGTATCATTGTATCAATCGGCTCGCCGTCCGTTGCAGTTATCCCGGTCAGTGTGCTTTATAACTATGACTTTGTCAAAAGTTCTCATATTATTACCACTGTTCGTCGGTCTTTTAATGTTGAGCCCGTACTTCGTGTCCGTAAGTATAATAATATACGTGTGAACTGAATACACTCGCCCAACTGTACAGAAACCACTATGTAATGTTAATTGAAAATCATACTTATACGGGACTCGAGTGATCCTTAGCCGTCGAGAGAGTGCAGGAGAATTTTATCATCAGATTTCGACCGAAAACGTTGTGGTTTTACGATAATGTTTGTTTTGTTTTTCTTCAAACAAACATTATTCGAGTTGAAACACCAGAATTTCATAGGAGGTTGATTTGAAAACCAAACACGGATAAGGCTTAAAACGTGTCATATTTAAATTTGCTCGTAGTAGATGCTGTAGTAGTAGATTAAAGCATAATCAAATGCATATTTTTAATTTTTCATGTTCGTACTATTTTCTTATATCAAGCATTTTATTTTATTAAATAGATATTTATAACCTTACCAACATATTTATATGTTATATTTTGTTTAAAAATAAATAGGATATTATATCACGTGTAAAGGATCAAGAAATCTAGTCATCATTAAGAGTAGTCTCGTAAACTACGCTAACCGTAAATACTGATAACTATTTTTCAGAATATTAATATTTTCTGTAATCGAATATTTGGTTGATTCATTATCAAGCCATATACTTATTTAATGATACTATCGATACTATAATAATGAGTGTATAAATTTCCCTTAAAATTTTACATCGGGTATTGCTCAGAAACATTTTTCATATATGAAATAGCGGTTCAATGATTTTTCGCTGGTAATAATATCATACGAACTGTGAAAAAAAATCAAAGAACGGAACAGCGAAGAACCGCGTCTTACCGGCTTTTCGACTTTTCCCGCGAATTCGTAGTGATATAATTTTTTTTATAACTGTAACCCCCGCGTGTCATTTGTATATTATATCTTGTAAGTTATTATATATGTTTAGGGACGATTCACGACGGAACAAATCGATCAGCTCGGAAAAGCGTGCAACGCAAGCGAAGGTAAGAACTGTTTCGTGTACATTAAATTGTTATGACGTGGTTCACGTTTCCAGGGGTATTATTTTAAAAAAATTTTTTGTTGCGAGAAAAACCAAAAAGAAAAAATAGTTCGAGTGGCAGCTGTGCAAAATGTTTGATGCATGCGTGTGGCGTAACGATGGACTCGAAACCTCGTACGTTTCACCAAACCGCTCGCGTGATCACGAGTCCGCGCACGTTGCGATCACTCCATTACGGCGCGCCGATAATCCAGGACGCCCGTATTCCCAGCAATGGGTTTGCCGTTAAATCTATCGGGGTGGCGGAACGTTTGCGCGCACTGGTACGGATGACGTTTGAAAGTGTGCTGCCTACGTTACCCTACGGTTGTGGTTCGTCCTTGCGTAATTTTCCACGACCCCAAATTTAAAATTGTTACACTAGTTGGGTCCCGGATTTTTATAAGTACTACACTAGTTGGGTCCTGAATTATTTTAAGTATACAATAGTTCCTGAATATTTTTTGGTAATAACTACATTATACTAACATTTTCCTTCTCATTTTAACAGACTTAGGGCTGTCTATGATCTATTTAGACCACAGGTATGGTTAAAAATGATTTTTATAGTTTTTTTTTTCTTTTTTAGTTTCTTTTTCATTAAAATATAAATTATTACAACTGTGTTGGTAAAAAATTGATGACTGAAGATAGACTATCAGCATTATGTCTAATTAATGTGTATCATAAAGCAGAGCTTGCGCTAAAGAAATATTAGAGCTATACATCCTGTTTGTTTTACAGAAGTAAAAAAAAATTGATACTCGCTTCGCTCCCATATAATAAATAATACATACTAACATCAATATTAAATACTAATATATTATACGTCATAATGTATATAGATTTTAATAATTGAAATAAAAAATTCCTTTAATCTAATTTTAAAATGATTTCTTTTTCTTTTTTGTATCAACTTATTCATCATGAGTATCATTATATTCAAATTGGTGATGTTGTTTTGTAGCATCTGGAAAAACACCATTGATATAATTTTGTTGCTCAGCCTTTGTTCTAGTAATAACTCTATGTTTTTTGATGTTCATCCATTTTAAAATTGACATATTAGGATCCCAATCATATTAGGGAGGCATATTATAATTAATGTATAAGTATATATTTTCAATTGAAACGTTCATGGCGAACGTAATGGAGACTTTAATAAATTACTTATACCGTAGTATTAATCTTTTTATTTTAATAGATAAATATTTACTATCAATGTTTTAATCATAATTTCTAATAATTCTGGAAAACAAAATAATGCCAAAAGGTACCGATGTTACAAACTCATAAACATTTAGAATTAATTATTAAAAATTCAAATCATATTATTTTTTTTACGAACTGCACATTATGTGCACAACTGTACATTAGTGCGCAAGCTCTGTCATAAAGTAGATATTCTAGATCAAGTAGATCATATTATTGATATTTTTGCCAATTTTAAAAATAGACGACTTGAGTTTGTGTTGTAAAAATTGTTGTATTTTTGTTATAAGATTTTTTAAAATTATAACTTGGGCTCCCCTAACCATGACTCTGGAGCCGGCACTGCATATCATTCAGCAAATTTAATCCTCTATCTGTATTCTTCTTATACATTTTTAAAATCCACCAGCGGCGATCACGTCGAGTCTTTTTATTTTATTTTTTTTTTTTTAATCAATTCATACATTACTATAAAAGCTGCAGCATATACTTGAAGCTGGTCATTCATTATTTATTACAACTTTAAACTATTGTTAAGTTAAATCAATTAAAGACACTTTAATTTAACTTTTAATGTACATAATTTAACATAGGTATGTACTTCTCAAGTATAAATTCAACTCTTGTGTGAATAAGTATAGCACATATTGATTTTGAATACTGTTTGTGTTTTTAAAATGTTTAATAATAATGTAGTCAGGCGAGGACGATCTTCTAATGGCATGTGCTAGTTTCGTGGTCATGAAATCATTAAATATCGCTTGCTATTTCGAGCCAAAAATTGATTTTAAGTTTCGTTAATTTATACTTAGGATTTGACGGGTCCCATTGAATAGGATGCACTTTGTATAATTAATTAGCGTGATACACTGATCGTCAGAAAAATCCATAATTTATAAATTAATATTTAACTATCTATCAATTAATTTACAAATAAATGTAGCACTAAAAAACAGTTGATTATTAAACCCTCAAACACAAGCGAATCTGTTGTGACGGGCCGAATGACGTTCGCACTGAATGTCATTTCTTTTGATTTTACCGCTAACCGATCGAACCGCACCGAAGGCGAACAAATGGTACAAATGGCTGTTTGTTCGCGTTCGGCGTACTGTTTACACTTAATCGTTAGTAAACCGAATTCGCGTTCGTTCGCATTCACGGCCGTAGTGTAAACGCACCTTTACGAGTGCCCATCATTGGCGTAGTGTGATGATAATTTTTTTTTTTTTGAAGGGGGGTTATAGTCTTTTTTTTTGGTGGTATCAACAACGCTCCCGCAACTTCTTGTGAATTACTTTGCATAAGGGCTATAATGATTCAGGTATAACAGAAGTACAGAACATATATTCTACACTATAGAAAAATGTAAAGGAACAAAATATAAAAAAAACTAAAGAAACACATTATTATTTATTAAATAAAATATAAATAAAAAATATACCATACATCATATTATTTTCAAATACATATTTTTTATTTTAATTAAATCTATATAAAAAAAAAAAAAATTTTAAATAGGGAATGATTTATAAATTTATTGTATTGGTTATAATATTAATTAATTAATTTATTATATACAAGGTTTAAATGCCTGCTTTTTTGGGCAAATATACAGGTGCGTGAAGTTAGCGGAAAAATTCGAGCACTAATTTCCGCTACTACATCAGTATTTAGTGCTCAATTAGTGCTGTTGAATGGTGCCATTTTAAAATTAGTGCCAAAACCAATAAAAAGTTACGAGGGGGCTTACCTTTCTCCGCTAACTTCACGTAGCGGGCTGACTATCAGCACCAAAATCCGCTATAATACCAATATTTAGTGCTCAATTAGTGCTGTTTAATGGTGACATTTTCAAAATTAGTGCCAAGACCAATAAAAAGTTACGGGGGGCTTACCTTTCCCTGCTAACTTCACGTAGCGGGCTGACTATCAGCACAAAAATCCGCTATAATACCAATATTTAGTACTCAATTAGTGCTGTTTAATGGTGCCATTTTCAAAATTAGTACCAAGACCAATAAAAAGTTACGGGGGGGGGGGGCTTACCTTTC